GCGAAGCTGTCAACACCCCCCTCCGGCAGGTCCTCTGCGCTTCTGTTACCGCTTTCTCCGGCCTCATTCTCGATCTCCATCTCGCCATCTTCACCGGAAAGAGCAAAAATGATAGCAAGGAAATTACAACTCTCAAACCCGTTTTGAAGCATGTAAAAGATAAAGGCGTGAGGAAGAAGTCATCTACAACATCTTTCAAGGTATTGCAATATATAAAGCAGATTCATTGTCGAATTTTACTTTAATATAAATTTTATTTTTATCACTTTATCAGTACATGTATTACATAATAAATTAATTTGATTATGTATTCAAACTACATTAGGGAAAGGGGAGCAGAAGCGGTTCAACAGCTTGCTTTGAGCAATTTAGGATGATGACAGATATGTCAATTTATTAGATCGAAAATTGACATTTCTCCTGTAGGACTCATAATTGCAATATCAGATGATTTCCGTGCATTTGGCGAGGTTAGTAAAACTTATATATATATACGAATGATTAACTAAATTGATTTTGTTTATATCTATAGGGAATTTATGAGCACACAATCACGGATGACCAACAAGAGAGATAGAGCTACATAACATGATGATTGTTGGGTATGGCAAAACAGAAGACGGAAAGACGTTTTATCTAGTTCAGAACTCTTGGGGGACCGGTTGGGGCGACAAAGGCTTCACCCGTATCGTGATTAAAGGTAAGTGCACGATAATCTTCCCGGTCAACCCGCCGGATGCTCCTGAAGCTTAGTAGTTGTCATTTTTATCCGACGAACAATGGAGTTGGATCTCTTTGTTTTGTGAACTTTAAGATAGAATTTGATTGGTCTGCTGTTTTATGCAATATCTCTGAGAACCTTTGAACTTTTTGGGCGTAAAAGTATATAATCTAGGTTTGTTTAAAGGAATGTTGCCGTTTTGGTGGTTCACCAAATTTATCGGAAAAGTTGAGATCTTTTCAAGTTCGACAAAATACTCAAAGATGATAAAAGATGATGTTTTAGGTGACCGTTCGGACTGTCCGAACAGAGAAGACACGATGTACGTAGAATACATACAGTATGATGTGCTGAGATAAACGTATGATACCAAATAACATTTGGTCCATTAGGACAAGATGCAACTCTGCAAATGGATTCCTAGGCAGTAATTTCAAAAGCTTCGCAGCTAACATGACAAGAGATAAAAGAGTAGAGCTCTTTCTTTTACTCTGAAATGGACATCAGAAAGTCCGAGTTCTTCTTTGCATAAGATTAGATAATGACCAGAAAGATGAACAAAATAAGCTGATAAGCTCTTACAATTTTTGGACAGCAATAAAAGATGTCTTGCACATAACCCATAATTTACTTAATCCACTACAGACTTGATCCTAGCAAACCTTGTTCATAACAAGAACAAACATCATCTGTGGCAGGTAGGTCTTGGCAAACTCGGCAACATCATCATCATTCAACCTGTTACAAGAAAAACACATTCAACTGTCAAACAACTTTGCCATCCAACAAAGAACAAGTGTATTTCCACATAACATAACAACAAGCATCCCATATCTTAAACCACTATGGTAATAATTGACATGATTGATGCCATCATCTTTTCAAAGAGACATCCCTCAACACATTTAATCACTGGCTTATCAAATTATCCATCGAACCTTGAAAACCGAATACGCGAAAGAGATAACGATATCCCGACATTAAAAAAAAACTATTTGCTAATGTAGATATAAGAATTTATACCTAGAATAAATCGGATTTCCAGAACCCAATGTCATACGATCAAACCAAAAAGCAATATCGAATCTTGTTTCGCCTGACTCCGTCCGTGGTTTTCGCTATTCCTCTCGATACCTTACTCGAATCTAAATGTTCAAATGTAGTAGCAGGAGAGGAGTCAGTCAAACACGAAACTAAAAACGCATAAACTGCTACAGCCAACACTGAAAAGAGTAGACTGTAGAGTAGATGGAACCCACCTATCGCTTCAGAAGCTTTTCTGCAAAAGATGGGATAAACCATCTTAAGCCACGCCCTATGAAGGGTTTTAGCTTGGTATTCTACAAGCTCTTCATCACCGGGCTTCTCCTTAGCCATAAATGTAATGTACGACACCTTACCAACAGCCGATCTAGTAACGGCCCTCACAATGTGGTCGCATTCAACACTCGTTCCCTATCACAAGAGATAAATGGAATTGCAACTAAACCATATATATTAGGCAGCACAAATCAAAGAAAGGTGCACTTGCCTCTATCCGGTTGTACTTCTCAAGAGCAGCTGCAACCATCTCTTCCATGTACTGGCGGGAAGTTTTGCCAGGTAAGCACTCGGAATCGAGTTTAACGGGAAAATATCCCCCTATGCATCTTGGAGCACTTCCAAACTCCACTTTGAAACCCTAAGCAAAAACATATACCCAAAAAGTTCATCTTTTTAAGTTCAACAACAACGAACTAACAGGATAAAATCTACTCTTGACTCAAGGAGTTTGTTAAAAGAAAATTCCTGTTTCAGTAAAAGGTATACCCTGGACTCGTAAATCTGGCGAAGATATCGACGCAATTTGAGATCAGTCTCCTCATCGGAGAAATACTCCTCATCGTCGTTAGGAGATTCGTACTCCGAACCATCGAAGCTGTCAACACCCCACTCCGGCAGGTCCTCTGCGCTGCTGTTACCGCTTTCTCCGGCCTCATTCTCGATCTCCATCTCGCCATCTTCACCGTCGTCTTCGGGATCAGAAGCATGTTCGGAATCAGAGGCATCTTCTTCGGCCTTGCGCTTTTTCACAGACGAATCAGCGATCCCCATTGATTCCGTCGTCATCTCGTGCTCGTTCGAAGTTTCTTCGGTCGTCGTCTTCGCCTCGCTCGTGGAATTGGGAACCATGGTCGAAGAAACCCTAGACAATTCTCCACAATCAATTTGGGAGCTTAGAGGTGAAAATATCTTACTCCTCTCGCGTGTAATCTTTTTAGAAATCGTGTGTCAAAACCCTTCTGAATAAGATCTTGTGTTCCTTGCCTCTCGTGTGTCAAAACTTGCGGAAAATAAATTATTGGAATTTTTATGTTCAGTTTAGTGACATGGGTGTAAAACGGGCTGACCGACCCGGCTCAGCCCGCACCTTTTCGATCTGAAAAAATTTCAGCTCAGTCTAGTCTAATCCGTTTTTTAGCGAGCCAAAAATAGGTTATTCCAATCCAGATCGTCTTAACTCGCGAGGCAAACGAATCGGCCCGTGAACCAAATATATAAATTTTAAAAATAAAATTTTAATACTTAAAAATATTTAAAAATAATTTTAATATTTAAAATATTTTTAAAATATCTAAAATATAATAAAAAATTAAAATTTTAAACAAAATAAACCAAATATGTAATAAAAATAAAATTTGTATATATAAAAATTTTAAAATTTTAAAAAAATAAATATTTTTCTTGTCCGCGAGCCAAATACTTGAGCCTGGCTCGGAAAAATATGGACTCCCTCACGAGTCAATCCGCGAACCGAACTCATTTTACATCTCTATTTAGTAATATCATTATCAACAACCAATTTACTCGTGTACTTTGTATATGCGCATATATATATATATATATATATTAATGGTAAAGATCAAAGCAAATCCAATTTACTGGTTTACTTTCCGGATTCGTCAAACACTTGAGATTATTAGGTTACTGAGCAGTGTCCTCGATTAGCACCATGCGAGAGGACTTCTCCTCTTTTATTTTTCCTCTTCAATCTCCCTTCTATTGTGGTTGACCAGTTGACTGTGCGATTCTATGCAACTCGTTATACCGCATGATTCAAAATAATTCCAAGTCTCCTTTGCAATTGCTCATTCCATTTTCTTTTATTCTTTTTGGAGATCGCCTTTTTCAAGATTTTGAAATTTGAAAGTTATTAACCATCTTTTAAAACCTCTTCATCAATTGATGTGTTTCCCACCATCATCAGTTTTAAAATTTTTCGATAAATAAGACAGATCTATATTAAACACTTAAATTTTAATGAATGATAAATATGCCATTTTGTAGATTTAAAAAAAAAAAAGATATATTAGGGTTTAGGAAGGTTAGTGTTTGATGTGAAAATGCAACGTAATAAGTAATAGAGAATTTGTGTTTGCATATACGTTGTTACGTTCTTCCTATCCATCATCTTCTACAGCAATAAAAATTGCGAATTTAATATGCAAATTTTCGTAGAAAACATGTATCGTCATACATTTTATTCGAAAAACAATTCCATAGATTTTGACAAAACCTTTCATAGTTTTTTTTTTCTCTCTCTCTACGAAGTATATATTATTTTCATAAAACAATTCCACCTTTCCTGAGCTCTCTCATATTCTCCTTCTTCTCCTTCACACATTTTTTTTCCATTTTTTAAAGATGAAATGTTGACCTAGTTTTATTTTGAAATGTCTCCGAATGAATATCACACTCTGAATTATTCATTTTGGGTCAACACAAACAAAATTGTCAAAAAATGATAATACCAAGCATTAAGAGTCTTAAGACTGGAAGGACAAGCGGTACTGTGTGTACTCTAAACTAAAAACCCAACTAACACAACCACCATTATCTTCGTAATCAAATCTTTTGTGAAGAAGACAAACAGCAAAGGAGAAACTGAGACCTTTTTTTTTTTTTTATATCTAGTTATTCTAAACCAAAATCCAAACTAATTTTATAACCGAAAATCAACCAGAAAGATTTGGAATATACGCTATTTGAGGTTTGAATTTGGGACGAGACAAATACTTTGCGTATTCATTTTATCGGTTGAAGTATCCAACTTTGGGTGAAAAAGAAATCTTTCAAGAATTGTCCTTCCCAAACTGAAACTTTTCACAAAGCACTGAATTCTAATGCAAATATATATGCATAAAAACTAAATCTTTAAATTTTTTTTAAAAAAACTAGCATAAATATTAAATAATTTTTGTTAATAAAAAATAATAAAATGAAAGTAACATGTGTAAAATTGTCCTCTCAAATTGTCGTTTCAATGCTATGATGTGAAGCACACAAAAAAAAAACAAAAACTAAGAGAAATGATAATAATTTTGAATGTGTTGGACTTCAAACTCTGACTCGCTCAGAGGGTTTCTCTTCGATAACCGATCCGAATGGTTCATTTGGCTAAATCCGGTTTAATTTGTATCAATTTGTTTTGGTAAAGAAAAACCAGATTGCTGCTATACGGCGACGTTTTGGCATAGGGTTTTAAAGCCGAAGAAGACTTCCGTCGAGCTTCATTTCGCGGGAGAGGAGAGAAACTGCAAGTGTGTGACGGGACGGCGATTCTGTTTGAAATAAGTAACTACAAGAAATGTAACATACAGCCTAAAAAGAAAAATATTCATACGACTTCATCACACATACGAAGCGTATATGTAGGTGTATGATGTGTATTCGTGTCTACGTATTTAGCACGGTATTGTAATTTGCTATACCAAAGTCAAAAAGAGAAAAATCCCCACCAAAAAACTCTTCATTTTATTGTTATTATTTATTTTTAACGTCAATGTTGTAGAATGCGACACCCGTCGCCGATAGCACGTGGTACAACATACAAACAATGATACTTTTATCTAATCATGACCCATTATTACATTAGTATATCATTTCATCCGGAAATACATTAGTAAATATTTAAATAAAGGTATAGCCCCCCAAAAAGGCCGACAAAAGGTACAAGCAGATTTTGGGGTTTTTCAGACTGATATGGTGGGTCCCACGTAAACGGAATTATATCAAATGTTTGTGCCATGTTACTATAATAGATTCATAGGATATATAAAAAATCCTTTTTGTCTCTTTCCAAAGAGAATATATTGTGTTCACTATGTTGTGGATCCAAGAGGCTGGATGAAATACATAATCAGTGATTAAACTTTAAAAAATCATGATTAAGGAGCATTTCAGTCCAATAAAAAATATATATGATGTTTTAGTTTTCTCGAGTGTAAATTTGATTTTTTTTTTGGAAAACGTAAATGTCAATTTAAAATATCCACTACGAATTGATTAGAATATTCTATTAAGATAAACAAAACATTTACATGTTTTTTTTTTTTGTTTTATTTATCTCCATCTGCTATATCTATCGGACAAGACAATGACATATCGACACTCCGTCACTTTTCAATGACACCATCACTTTTTATATATGAAAATTTTTAATTTATATTTTCATGTATTAAAGATATATTTTTTTTAGCAAAAAAATGTATTAAAAATATATTATGACCACTCAAGTAAACTGCCCTCACTTAGTTGCCTCCTTGCTTTTTTTTTTCTTTCGTAAAAGTAAAATACGTGCAAATACATAATTCACAGTTCTTATCAGTTTACTAAAAAAAAAAAATCTAATTCACACAACATGGTAAAAAGGCCAAATTACTGGTGTTATAAATAATTACAGAAACGCTTTTAAAACATAATGCATTGGATGTAAATGTGATGCGCTGGTTTTGAATTCGGTGGAGCTAGTCTATGCCCGTTGAATTGCACACGCCACCAAGAGACGATACCAAAAATACCCTAGGTTCAGAGGACGCACAACTTTCCTTTTCGCTATGACATTTGTGAAAGCATAGATCAGAGGGCGAGAGAGAGAGTATAGGGGAGAGAGAGAGATGAGAGAAGGAGTCCTCGATCGAACGCGTTAATGGCATCGCAGCCACGGAAGAATGGGGATTCTGCCTCCGTTTTAGAAACCCAGGTCGGTGCTCAAGGGTTTTGTCGTTTCTTTTTCCTTTCTAGCTTTTCGATCTAACATCCAAGAACTATTTGATCAGTTCTTGCATGTATTTGAAAAACTTATCTTTCTTCTTGGTTTCTTAAAACCTGTCTCGTATTTGACGGAGGACTAAGATTTAAAAGGACCAGAGTTCTGGAAATCTGGGGAAAAGGGAGACAAGTACTTCCGGCCCTGTTTTGAAATGTAGCCACGCGCTCAATGAATCCTTAGGTTTACATCGGTTGCAAGAAAACCGACAAGTTCTTGCACATAAGTAAGCATTCATAACTCTTTTTTCCTGGTTTCGTAATAAAATCTATGGTGGTCACTGCCCTTTCTTGCATGTATTTGAAAACGTTATCATCTTTCTTCTTGGGTTTAAATCACTCTCTTGCGCGTTGCAATATGCATATTTGTATGAAAAATCTGTCTTTTTACGGGATGCTATCCCGTGATTCTTGGAGATTGACTTCTGATTTCATCGTAGGTTGTAGATTTCTATGACTATTATTGTAAATTTATGGTTATTCTGCTGGAACATCAATATCTCTTTAGTTGGTAAAATTCCTAAAGTAATAATGCCCAACGTCGAGCAAATGGTTGTTAGAGATGCGAAAGGTAGAGTACTGATGGGTAAGAGTCTGTTTTGAGGGTTGTATCTGACATTTGGGTTTTTTTCTAAGCTCTCAAGACTTGCATGGTTTTTTTTTGTCATTGATATAGATAATAGTTCGTTCCCATAAACATTTTGAATATTGTTTGTTTTTCTTTTCCTTTCTTCATATTAGGATTAATCCCTAAGCAGGTTCATTGGATAGCATTGTAATCAACATTTTCCAATTTAAAGATGGAACTGACTGTTGTAAGGATGCTCAAGAATCTGTCGTGAACGGTTCCCCTGTTTCTGAAGAGTTTAAGTTATAGGTATACCATCAGCCTTTAAGTATATTTTCCTTCAATGACGCGTGTCTATTTATCGTAGCACTTAACGAACTTTTTACCAGATTTGTGTCTGCTTCAGGTGATCAAAGAAGAAGCTAGCTGAAGAGAAAAAAATTGTTGTGTTTTTTTTCTAGGCCACAGTTGAGAAACCGAATTCAGATATCAATATTTTATCACTGTTATTTTGAATCGTGGTGTCTTTTTCTTGCCAATTTGCGATTGCGTCGCTTGTACTTTCTCTGTTTGTTTCTTGATTGGTTGTTTTCTTTGGACTGCTCCACTTCAGGTGGAGTTATATATTGGACAGAGAATAGCAGGACAGAAAACATGACGATTTC